AATCTGGCCTCCAGCCCTTCATTTTTCATGCAAATGTTTGGGAATTCTGCTGTGAGCTGATAGGAAGGTGGATCATACCATGGTAAGGGCTCAAGTTCAGGTTCCCAAATGTATGGCCCAGGGAGACCCTGCTGATATGCCCTGCTGCCTTTTAGTCCTGGAGGCCCAGCTGCACCCCTGGAGCAGACAGGAGCTCAAGGTCTACAGGCTCCAAGGCTGTTTCCTGGGATCCTCTAACTTTTCTCTCACATAGGGCCATGAATCAGGCCTCTGGCCTCCTATCCCCTCAGAGCCCTGTGCCAGGCCAGCTTTGGGGACCCAGGGAACAATGAGGCTGCCCCCTGCCATTGTGGGAGCCACCAGGAGACCAATATTTGCAGGACTGGATGGTAAACCTCAATGGAATGAGCACTGAGTGCTCCAGGGACCCCAGGGAGGCCAAGCTCCGGCTATTTAAGTGCTCACCAGGCAGCAGGGCCCCAGGACAGGCATTTCCAGAGGCACAAGCTGAGTAAGCGAAGGTCTAAAGTCATGAAACAGCCTGATGGCTCTGTCCAGAGAACAGTGAGGGGTGGCCAGAGCAGTGAAGGGCAGCTGGGCCAGGACAGACAAGTCTCAAATGTCAGGCGGAGGAATGAGCACCTCTAGCCCTCAGGAGCCCAGCCGAAGTCACCAGTCCAGGCTTCACTGCTGACCTCTGTCTGTTCCACACACTCCAGGATGGTGGCTCCCCACCCCAGTGGTTGGTGCAGTGGTCAGCCAAGACCCTCCATCACCACTCCAAGCCCAGCCCTGCACCCACTGGATGGTAGCCAGTGCTGCCAGGAATTCCCATTTGCCTGCCCACCCAATGCATGGCCCTTCCCTTTCCTCCCTAGAAAGTCCCTGTCCCGAAGCCCAAGCCCTGCCAGGAATCTCAGTCTCAAGCCAGCCCCAGGGGGCCTTCAGGTCATGGCCAGGAGCTTTGGGGCAAAGAAGGGAGGGCCAGGCACAGAGTAGCCCTCCCTGGGAGTCCTGCCAGTTCACCTTGGTTGAACCCCACGCTGGTCCCTTTTCCTCCACTGGAAGGTACGGCCCTGCCCAGTTCCAGGAACCCTGTCTGGGTCAGGGGCTGCAGAGCCATGCTCTGGAAAGTCTAGTTTGAAGGAGATCAGCATTTTTTAAAAAGTGAACTAGAATAAAATAGAAAATATCACACTCGGTCAGGATAAATAATGTCTGCTGAAACATTTATTTCAGAGATATTTTTACTTGTGTGTGTACTGAGTTGCAATGTCAAATGTATTTCTTACTATGGGTCATGGTCAAAATGTGAAAAACACAGACCTGGTGGGTGCAATGGGTGGGAGGGCAGCCCAGGAGCAGTTCACCCTGCAAGGCTCAAAGGTAGGAACCTCAGATGTCAGTCCCAGCCCTGTCCCTGACTTGCTGTGTGACTAAATGGGGAGGTCCCTTTGTTTCCCAGAGACTCCCTCAACTTACCTGTCTGTGAAATGGGGATTGGAACACCTTCCTGCCAGGGCTGTTATGGCATCCTAAGCTGAGAGCTGCTCTGACCTCTGGGAGGCGGGGAAGGTAGAGAGGGTTTCATGAGGCCCTGTGGTGACTCTGACTGCCCCTTCCTCTGGCCCCCCAGGCCTCCAGGCCCAAGGTCAGCATCCCTCTTTCAGCCATTATCGAGGTCCGCACCACCATGCCCCTGGAGATGCCAGAGAAGGACAACACGTTTGTGCTCAAGGTAAGTCTCACCCCTGGCCGCACAGATCCTCTGGCTGCCCCAGTCCACCTCCCTCGTGGGCAGCTCAGCTTGGGAGGGGGAGAGATCCCTCAGGGGTCTTAAGACCCTATACAAATATCAGGCACCTAGCTAGTACTTGAATCCAGGCCTGGGCTCTAGAACTGAGCACCCTGGGTGTCACCCACCCTCTGGGGCCCTCTGTTCTTATTTCCTCTGGGGCTTAAGTAAAACTCCACTGAGTTTCACTTCCTCCCCTCTCCCTGCCCCCACTGGAACCAGCACATACCCACCCCATGGGCGGGCAAACTGGTAGCTAGACTGCAGCAGTTATACAAATGCCCCTGTGGCAGAGCACTGGAGTGTGCGAACCCACCTGGTCCCACAGAGGACACAAAGACACTAAGAGTGGGCAGGCAGGCACCGCAGTGGGGCTGGGGACAGTTCATTCTTTCCCCAGGACCCACATCACTGAAGTGACCTGCTCGGGTTGCTGAGGACATGGTTCCAGGCTGCCAGGGCTGTGCCCTGTACCTCCTCAGGATTAGAGCATGTTTGTGAGGCCCAGCCCCCAAGGAGACCTGGTTCCACCCACCCAAAGCTGTGTGGAGCCCTACCCTCTTCTCCAGGTTCCTGGTTGGCGTTACGCTTTTGCTCTCCCGTTTGTTCAGTCACGAACTCCCTTATTCATTCAGCAAACATTTGCCAATCCCATACCCTGAGTGACCCCGGGCTCAGGGCAGAGGATGCAGCCCCTTCCCGCCTGGCGTTCTCATCTGCTGGGTGAGACGGGTACCAGGAGTCGGTCCCAACAGCTGAGTAGCCACTGTGCTGCTAATTGTGCTCAGGAGCCCTGAGCCTGAGGAGTTCACCTGACAGCCCCACTCACGGCCTCAGTTTCCCCATCTCTTTAGAGAGGGGTTGAAGGTCGTCTCCAAGGACCCTCCCAAGTCTGAGATGCTGGGAGTCCAACAACTGCATTGTAACAGGCTGAGAGCACTCAGCCTTGGCATCACAGAGACCTGGGTTCCCATCCCAGCGCTGCCACAGAGTGCTGGTGGGGCTTTAAGCAAGTTACCTGACCTCTCTGAACCTCATTCCTCATCTGTACAACACAGAAAGCATATTGCCTCCCTCCCAGGGCTGCAGGGAAGATTTCAGGAGATAAAGTGTGCAGGATGGCACTCTGGGCCTGGCCCACAGCAAGGGCCTTCCCCTCCTCCCTCCTGTGGAGGCCGCGTATCCCAGGGGTACAGCCTCAGAGGTGGAGTTCCAGGCACTGAGACAAGTGAGCCCTTCAACTCAGTGTGCTGAACCAGCTAGCCCCTTGGCTGACTTGAGGGTTGTGAGGTCCTTTCACCATCTCCAGGGTGCCAGCCCACCCTTCCCCAGGCAGCATGGCCTCTTCTGAGGCTGCATCTCCAGTGCCTGAGCACCTGAGGTCAGCAGGGCTGAGCGTCATCCCCAGTCATCCCCAGTGGCGGGCGAAGAGGAAGGGGCTGCTAAGGTTGTGGGGGAAGGCTCTACCCCAGAACCTTGGCCGGGTTTGGGGTGGTGCTTGATGGTGATGCCACTATCTTCCCTGCTGCTCATGCCAGTGAGCCACTGTAGGGAAGGGATAGGATGAGCATTTGTCCTGGAGTCTAGAGCCCCCTGCTGAGGGTGGAGGAGGTCAGGGTACTGACTACTGTCTGGTCGCCTGGCACCCCTTCCTCAGGTGGAGAATGGAGCAGAGTACATCCTGGAGACCATTGACTCACTGCAGAAGCACTCGTGGGTGGCTGACATCCAGGGCTGCGTGGATCCCGGGTGAGTGCCCAAGTAGCACTAGGATAGGCAGACAGGGTGGGGTAGCTATCTGGTGCTCAGCTCCCAAAATGGGCTTTTCTCATGGCAGTTCTATCCAGGTTTGTGCCGGCCATTCGTCCATACCCCCACTCCCACCCCTACCCCCAGCAGGCTTTTGGACACCTGATCTGCAGGGCCAGGGCCTGGGGACCTAGAAGGAAGTTAGATCAAGTCTTGTTCTTACCCCAGGGGAGCCTGGGAGCACTAGGAAAAGGGCAGTGATGTGGGGGTGAACCCAAAGGGGTGAGCTCAAAGGGTGGGGAATAGAGGGGAGGTCCCTAACCCAGCCTGGGGCTCAGAGAAGGCGTGCTGGTAGAGGCGCTCACCATCTCTGAGGCTTAAAGAAAAGGTGAACCTGAGCTATTCAGAGGGGCCTGGGGGTAGGGGAGGGCAGAGAGAACAGCCCAGCAAAAGGTGTGGAGGTGTGTGTGAGCCTGGGACTTGCAGGGAGCATCAAAGCCTTTAGGTAGTTAGAATTAGAGCTGGTAAGGAGGGGACTTTGATGAGAGCCCTGGAAGCTGTTAACTCAGGGGCAGTGGGGAGCCATGGCTGGTAGCAGGCAGAGGGCAGCTGTAGTCAGCTGTGTACAGGAAGAGCAACAGGGAGGCTGGTTGCGCCATCCAGGAGAGATCCTGAGGCCAAGAGTAGGAGGGGCAGGCAGACCAGCAGCAGAGCACTTGGCAACAGCTCTTCCTGCTAATGGGGTGAGCCAAGCCCCAGGGGGGAGGGGCTGCTGCTTTCTAATTAACAGCTTCATTTAAGGAAGCACAATTAAAGTCCTGAGCACCGCCCAGGCTCCCCGATCCCCAAAGTGGTTATAATCTGTCCCCTGCCACCCTTCCAACCATCTGCTCTGCAAACTCTTTCCCCAGACCCTGTGAAGGTGAACCTTGCAGTATTTTAGAGCTGGCAGGATCCCAGACACCTCGGGTCACAGATGGGGAGACAAAGGCCGGAGGCAGGGAAGGGAGCTGCCCAGGCCCTGCCCACTGCCTTGCCCGGCCACCATTTGCAGGACTTTATGGGGTCCCAGAAGGAGGCCAGCCCTTTGTGGGTTAGTGGACAGGGGTCCTGTGACCTCAAGGAGAATTACACCCACCTGGAGACCTCTCTTATATTGCCCAGTCACACATGGTGGCCACTGAGCAAGCTGAGAGTGTGACAGAGGGACATGGAGGCACAGAGACTTCAGGTGAACCACTGCCTGGTTCAGTGAGAAGCCCTTGGTCCGAATCCTATGGCAGGAGACGGTTATTCTCTCCTGTTTTCACAGGGACAGCGAGGAAGACACAGAGCTCTCCTGTGCCCGGGGAGGCTGTCTGGCCAGCCGCGTGGCCTCCTGCAGCTGTGAGCTCCTCACGGAGGGTAGGCGGGGGCAGAACTGGCTGGAGTAGTAGAGGGTGGGTTGGAGGGGGTGGTCACTCCGAGATGGCCAACAGACATGCTTCTTACCTGCCACTTCTCTAGCAGTAGACCTGCCCCGGCCGCCAGAGACAACCGCAGCCGTGGTGACAGCCCCACACAGCAGAGCTCGAGATGCCATCAGCGAGTCCCTGGTCCATGTCCCCCTGGAGACCTTCCTGGAGACCCTGGAATCCCCAGGCAGCAGCGGTGGTGACAGCAGTAACACAGGTAGTGGGGCAGCCTGCTCTCCCCGCCCCTCCTTCCTCCGCCGCCAAAGCCCTTCCTGAGCCTCAGAAGCTGTGACATTTCATCCCACATGGTCCTCCGCACAGCAGCTCAGAATTCTAGCTTTTGTAGGACAGTCGGAAGCATGACCCTTCCCACCAGCCCTGGTTTCAATAGAAAATACTCACAGAAGGTGTGCGAAGGGTCAGCACCAGGGGTTAGGGACAAGGAGATTTAATTTGTTCCCACATTTGTTGCTGACTGAGAGGCTACCCCAGGTAGTCCTTCTCCTCTCTGTGCCTCACTTGACCTCATGTGCTTAACTAGTGGGTGGGGTCAGCTCCTGGCCTTGTTCTGAAATTATCCAAACAGCGCTTTACATGTAAAAACCCAACAAGATGTTGCCTCTCTTCTCTCATGTATTTGCACCCCACCACGTGCCTCACTGTCATCCTCTACAGGGGAGGAGGGACCAGAGCCCGAGCCCGAGGGGGCGCCTGAGCTGGAGCTCTCTGACTACCCCTGGTTCCACGGGACGCTGTCGAGGGTCAAAGCAGCTCAGCTGGTACTAGCAGGCGGGCCCCGGAGCCATGGCCTCTTTGTGATCCGCCAGAGTGAGACTCGGCCTGGGGAGTACGTACTGACTTTCAACTTCCAAGGCAAGGCCAAGGCAAGTGTGCAGGGGGACCATGGGCAGAGCGGCCAGCCCTGGGTGAGGAGGCTGAAGGGCCCTGGTCCTGAGGCTTCACCCACGCCCCAGGAGCAGGCTCCATGTGTAGGTGTGACATGACTTTCCATGGGCCAGGCCTACCCCTGGCCATGCTCTTTGAACCACCTGGATCCCTCCCTGGGGGACACCTCTCTGGGGGGCTACAAGTCTGACCCAGATGTGACTTCTCCATTATCCAAATGGGGAAGTCCCCTCCCAATGGCCAAGCACTCAGGAGGCCAGGCCCTTCTGAGGACTTAACTTCGACCCTGTGTATCAGTGATCACATAGCACTGGGGCTTCTGAGGGTCTCTACCAAGAGCTGCCTCAGTGCAGGGCTGGGCTCAACCAAGGCCCTCCTGCCCCACCCACTCCCAGACAGCCCCACTTCATGCCTCCTCAGGTCAGTTCACCACCTCTTCCAGGGCTCCAGGCCAAGGGACATGGAAGGGAACCACACACAGGTGGGCCCTAGAGGACCAGACAGGAGAGGAGGAGCTGGGCCGAGCAGGAGGGCTGTGCTGGGTCTGGAGGGCCCGAGGAGGCTCCTGAGCCTACCAGCCAGAGCAGGAGGTGGCCTGAGATGTGCAATGGAGGTAGAACGCTTAGGGTGAAGTGGGAAGGGTGATCCAGGCAGGGCCCAGCAAAGGTGACAGTGCACCCGGAGAGTGGACTCTGGAGGAAGGGCATTGTGCACTAATATAATGACCTAAGATGTAAAGGAAAATATGTCCAAAAAGTCAAATGACTGGGGGGTTACAGTGTGACCAGAATGGGCAGGAGCCTCAACCCCCGACCCCCACACAGTCCTGAGTTTCTGATAAGGAAACAGACCCAGCCCTGGCTCTTCCCAGGACAAGGTTTCAGTCAGTCCCTGCTGGAGGAAGGGGCACCCCAACCCTCCTGCTCCATACATACATTGGTGGTCAGTGTCCCAACTCCCAGCTGGCTCAGTGCAAGCCCTCCCCTGGCTCCCTGGGCCTGTGTCCTTGGCAGTGTTGTCACTTTGTGGAGGAGGCAGCACCTCCCCAGGGGCACCTCCTTGGAAAGCAGCCTCCCTTACCAGTTCCTCTGACAACCAGGCACTTAACGCCATCCCTGGCAGCCCCAAGTTTACTTCTTGGCCAGTACCGCCCCAGGCAGCCTCCCTGAAGGGCCTGGATCTCACTCATGCCCAAGCCAGAGGCTAGAGTGGTGCCCAGCCAATGCAGGGGCATGGGGGCAGGACGGGGGAGGAGAAAGAGCTGGCTGCTCCTCTCCTTCCGGTGGAAGGACCCAGCGTTGAATTCATGCCAGCTCCTGCCCTGTCAGAGCAGAGTGACTGCCCAGGGTGAGATAAGTTAGTGGTGGGGTACAGCAGGACCCCCGCCTCCTGCTTGCACCCCTCCTGGGAAGGAGGACCTGTGCTCTGTGAGGCAGCTCTTTTCACCTTCAGATGATAAATGTCTGAAAGATTTTCCCAAAGGCTGAGATGCACCCACCTTGCTTCAGGCTCTGCCCTGGGCCTCCCCCCCAAAGGCCCTGCCCAGATTTGAGGCAGTACCTCTCAGGCTCAGGCCCTGCCCTGGGTGCCATTAATGCTCCCCAGGTTTGCTCTCACTGTTCTGGCAACTTCTGGCCTTGCTGATTGGCAGAATTCACTCACGAAACCACCCCTACCACCCTACCCCCTGGGCTTATCCTCTATGTAGGTGGTGAGACTAGCACCCCCTCCTGAGCTTGAGGCGAAGTACATACTCTGAAACCTTCCTATCACCTTCCCTCTTGCCCTATACACCCCAGCAACAGCCACTCTTCCTCCTGAGGGGTACATATTGTGCAAGATAAGGCTGAAGCCAGAGACCTGTGGCTCACCGCTAGAGCCCACAAGTTGTGGCTCCTCTCCCCGGGGCATCTGCCCCATGCGGGCCCTGCAGGCACCAGCCTGCTCCTCAGGCTCCAGGTGCTTCCACTGTAGCACAGCTGAGAATCGTGGACAGTCACTCCCCGCCAGCCAGCCTCGGAGTGGTCTCTGGGCTGTAGCTCTGTGGGGACAGCAGGGTGGGAGAATCACACAAACATGAGTCTGTCTTGTGACTTTGGGTGAGTCATTCCCTCCCTGTGCCTCAGTTTCTCCATTTCTAAATGGGGTCTGTAATCTCTACCTTCTAGGGCTTTTGGAGACTAGAGATGGGGAATGTGAGGGGCATGATGTGGGTGCTTCCAACATAGGCACAAATGTCTGCTCCCTTCAGTTCCAGTCTGGCTCTGTTGCCCACCCATTCTCAACCCCCACCATAGGAGCGGTCCACCCCACACCCCGAGCTGGGACCCATATGATAGGACCCAGCTCTGCCAGCCCCATGTGGCCTCTGTGAGACTTGGCCCTCCCAATGACCCCCAGAGGCACTTGTCAGGCCAGGACCCCCCCACTGACCATGCTGATCTGTGCCCACAGCACCTGCGCCTGTCCCTGAATGGCCAGGGTCAGTGCCACGTCCAGCACCTGTGGTTCCAGTCGGTGCTGGACATGCTGCGTCACTTCCACACCCACCCCATTCCGCTGGAGTCAGGGGGCTCGGCAGACATCACCCTACGCAGCTACGTGCGGGCCCAAGGCCCCCCACCTGGTAAGGCGCCCCCCTGGCAGGTGCAATGGCTCAAGAACAGAAGGCGGGCAGCGGGAGGAGGGGGCCTCTCGGGCCGGTGGGTTGAGGCCTGGACTCGGGCGGCTGCGGGCAGTCAGGGCCCGCAGGACTGGGGGGCGAGGCAGGCCCGCCAGAGGCAGCCCCGGGCATTCCCTAGACAAGCGCGGGGCTCCGTGGGACCCCAGGCCACCCCGTTCCTCCGGTCTCTGGTCACCGGCTGACCCGCGGGGACTGGGGAAAGCGGGGCCCGGGAAACCCGGCGGGGCCCTGACGCGCTCGGCCTGTTGCAGACCCAGG